CTGCACTGGGGATTACATTTCCAGCATGTGAATTTTGGGGGCACATTCAGACCACAGCATGAAGGAAATGTCAGTTTTTCAAACAATGGGTGTTTATAAAGTTGTCTTCTTTGTCAAGGTAAGTGAGCTACTCTGGTTTTGTTCTTTTTTCCTGCACTGTTCCTTGGAAAGGGTTATAATAAATGCCCCATTTATCTGAAGACCCTTTTTCTCTGAATGAGGAGAACCTGGAAATGCTCTTCCAAGAGAGGAAAAATGAAAATTTCTCATGATGGGAAGCAGCTCTCACACGGCAGCTAAACCCTTGTAGGTGTCAGAAGAAATCCTGCAGCCTCACTTGGGGACTTTTTATTCCTAAAGAACTCCATTAGGTTGTAGGCAGTCACTTTGGAAGCTGTAACATGAGGGTGAGGAGGCCAGGACAAGGTGAAGGGGAGGCCCCTGAAGGCAGAGTGACAGCCGCAGGGCAGATGTGGGCTGGACACCCTGTGTGCAGAGAGACAGGGAGACCTCCTCAGAGCCAGACTTCCTCCTCCAGCTCGCGTGGCTATTCACTACCCTTTCCATGGCTTGGATGAAACAGCCTTTATGCCACACAGTGCCCCGTAATTTGGCTTGTTCATCACCTTGATATGAGAATGGGGTGGCTGGAATAGAAGAAAAGAGTATTCCAGTCCTCGCAGACTAATCGCCCACCGTAAAGTAACAAGGTGGCTCCCGGCTCATACACCAGTCTCTTGGGAGTCTTATCTAAGCTCCCTCAAGCTGATCTGCTCAGGTTAGGAAGTTCCAGACATGCAGGACAGGTGACAGATCTCAAACTGCCATCAAACCACCAAAGTGGTGGTGCCCAGCCAGAAGAGGTGGCATGTAAGCCCCCTGACGTCTGTGACCTGCAATCCTCAGCAAAGTCCAAGACACTAAGCAATTGCCTGTGCCTTCTGGAAGTGTTTCCTCTGCCTCGCCTGCCACCTTCTGTCACCACACACAGGCAACTCCCTCCTTCCTTCCTCTTCCATCCTGGACCAGCCTCCTTTAGTTATGACCTGCCTCTTACTCATGTCACCTCCTTCTGACCCACTGTCTTAGTCCCTTTGTGCTGCTGCAACAGAATACCTGAGACTGGCTACCTTGTAAAGAACAGAGACTTATTTCTTACAGTTCTTGAGGCTGGGAAGTTCTGAGGTCACGAGCTGGCATGTGATGAGGGCCTTCTTGCTGCCTCATCAGGTGGCCATGGCAGAAGGGGCAAAACCAATCCCGAGAGCCCTTTTTATAGCACTATGAATCCATTCCTGACCTAAACTCTTCCCACTGGGCATCCCATGGACAATAAAAGTGGGTCAAACTCACTTTTACTACAAACCCACTCCTGAGATAATGACATTAATCCATTCATGAGGGCAGAGCTGACATCACCTAATCATCTTTTAAAGGTTCCACCTTTCGACACTGTTGCACTGGGGATTAGGTTTCCAGCACACGAATGTTGGGGGACATGTTCATACTACAGCACCGTCTCACCAATTTTCTTTCACAAACACTTAGGACACCATTTCATCTCTTAGAACCCTTCAAGGCCTTCAGGGCACAGTTTCAACTCCTTAGCGTGGCCTGAAGGCCCTTCGTCACCCGTACTCTTCAGGCCAATGCTTGAACCCAAGCAACCTCAACGTCCTAGCATTCCAAACACCCTACTCTCCCCACCTGCCCGCACCAGGCCTGCAACCCCCGCCCAGGTGGCAGCTCCTCTTGCTGTCCTCTCTGCTCACCTTTCCAATGACTCCCTTGCCTGGTGCCGTGTCTGTGCACCTGCTCCTCTCCTCCGCTGGGCCAGGACAGCCTCATGGGGAGATTTCAGGACTTCATCCCCAGAGCCCCAGAATCCATGGACTGTCCCACGAAGAAACATATGACGCATAGTCTGGGCACTCTGCAGCTTCAGGAGCTGGAATGTTTCCCTGCTGGATGAGGATGGATGTGAACACGCTGAAACGGCACTGAAGGGAAGGAGCGGGGCAGCTGTGAGAACACAAGCCAGCTCAGAGCTGCCTCTGAGGGTGGCCCCAGGGCCAGCTGTGCCCCTGGGCAGGCTTAAGACTTGGCCAGAAAAGAAAACTAATAGGGAGAAAAAAAAAGAGGCAAGAGCAAGAAGGGATTGAAGAAGAAAGTGAGTGGGGTGGACGGCATGTCACTGCCTTCTCAGGGACCCTCCAGAGACATGACAGTGGTCTTGGAAGAGGGTCTTACGTACATATACACACACAATGTACACACGTGTATTATATCAAATGTGGGACAACGACGGTGGGCAAAGGCTGCGTCAGCCCCCAAGCTCACCTTCTTCTATTTGCCAACAAACAAATCAGACGTCTCCTGACTGCAATGAGAGAGGAAGAAGTCCTGATGGGTTAAGTCATTTTTGTACAATTACAAGCAAAGGTAAAAATCCCGGTCATCAGGAGGCTGACATCAGCAGGAAGACAGAATACACAAGGCCAATAAGTCACACATAAGCACACGCAGAGGGAGCGGCGAGGAACGGGCAGGGGCGCCGGGCGCCGGGAGCCTGCGGCCTTCGGTGGGTGGATTCTGGGGGCGCCCGAGGAAAGACAGGAAGGAGAAGCCGTGTGGAATTCAGGATACTCCGTGGAGGAGTTTCTGGCCAGTCATCAGCTGCTGCAAAAGCTCTGAGCCGGGAGAGTATTTGGAGGGTTCCAGAAAGGCTGGTTTCTGGGGACGCAGGGGCCAGAGGAAGTAAGAGCGATGAGGCCAGATCATTACTAGGACTTCGGCTTTTCCTGGGGTAGCTGAGAAACCACTGGAGGGTTCTTAGCAGAGAAGTGTCATGATCTCACACTTTAATAGGATGCCCTGGTGGCTGCATTGAGAGTAGACTGAGGGGCACGTGGGCAGGGTGGGGAGCTGGGTGAGGAGGCAGCAGCAGTAACCCGGGCATGACAGCCATGGGGTCAAGGTCATGTCAGTGTGGTAGCGGAAGGTGCTTGGAGACTGTGCATATTTAAAGACAGAGGGGACAGATGGAATTGGGGTATAAGGAAAGAGGAGACTACTTCACTCCAGTGGTTTTAGCAACAGAGAGCAAAAAGTTTCCATTTTCTGAGGCAAGAAAAGCTGTGGGAAGAGCAGGTTTGTGATGGGTGTAAAATCGAGAGCCCGGTGATAGTTATGTCAGGTCTCAGATGCCTTCTAGACACCCAGTCTTGGAAGAGGGTCTTACGTACATATACACACACAATGTACACACGTGTATTATATCAAACGTGGGACAGCGACGGTGGGCAAAGGCTGCGTCAGTCCCCAAGCTCACCTTCTTCTATTTGCCAACAAACAAATCAGACGTCTCCTGACTGCAGTGAGAGAGGAAGAAGTCCTGATGGGTTAAGTCATTTTTGTACAATTACAAGCAAAGGTAAAAATCCCTGTCATCAGGAGGCTGACATCAGCAGGAAGACAGAATACACAAGGCCAATAAGTCACACATAAGCACACGCAGAGGGAGCGGCGAGGAACGGGCAGGGGCGCCGGGCGCCGGGAGCCTTCGGCCTTCGGTGGGTGGATTCTGGGGGCGCCCGAGGAAAGACAGGAAGGAGAAGCCGTGTGGAATTCAGGACACTCCGTGGAGGAGTTTCTGGCCAGTCATCAGCTGCTGCAAAAGCTCTGAGCTGGGAGAGTATTTGGAGGGTTCCAGAAAGGCTGGTTTCTGGGGACGCAGGGGCCAGAGGAAGTAAGAGCGATGAGGCCAGATCATTACTAGGACTTCGGCTTTTCCTGGGGAAGCTGAGAAACCACTGGAGGGTTCTTAGCAGAAAAGTGTCATGATCTCACACTTTAATAGGGTCCCCTGGTGGCTGCATTGAGAGTAGACTGAGGGGCACGTGGGCAGGGTGGGGAGCTGGGTGAGGAGGCAGCAGCAGTAACCCGGGCATGACAGCCATGGGGTCAAGGTCATGTCAGTGTGGTAGCGGAAGGTGCTTGGAGACTGTGCATATTTAAAGACAGAGGGGACAGATGGAATTGGGGTATAAGGAAAGAGGAGACTACTTCACTCCAGTAGTTTTGGCAACAGAGAGCAAAAAGTTTCCATTTTCTGAGGCAAGAAAAGCTGTGGGAAGAGCAGGTTTGTGATAGGTGTAAAATCGAGAGCCCGGTGATAGTTACGTCAGGTCTCAGATGCCTTCTAGACACCCACGTGGAGCTGGTAGCCATGTAGATGAGTCTAGGGCTACAGGAGAGGTCCGGGCTGAATACATGAATGCAGAAGGGATCAGTGTTCTGACAGCGTTGACGCCATGAGGCTGAGCGAGATCCACGAGGGAGTAGGTAGTGACGGAACATGAAAAAGCCCACGGATGAGCCACGGGACACTGCAGCACCAGTAAGTTGGGGAGAAAAAGAGTCCAGCAGGTGTGACCACGAGGGATGGCCAGAAAGGCAAGGCAACCATCAGCAGACTGTGCCGTCTTGTGAGCCGAGGGGAGGATGTGTTTTAAGGAGGAGGGAAAGAGGACTCTATCCAACGTGGTTGGTAAGTCAAGAGACATGACCAAGAATTGGCCACCGGAAGGCGCAGCCTGGGGTGAGCACTGAGCGTATGAGGAGCAGGATTTTGTAGAGCAAAACTGAGAAATGACATTATGGGTGTGTGTGATGGGAAGGATCCAGTCGACGATTTCGGAGGGAATGCCAAGGCAATTGGAAAGGGCTTTCCTCTCACGGCACAAAGGATTGGAATCTAGTGCCCACGTGGCCCTTTCCGGGACATGAGCACCAGGGGAGAGGCCAAGAGAGTGGGCAACTTTCTTGCAACCTTCTCTGAGAGGCTGGTCCACACTCCTGGGCTGTTGTCACTGGCCTGGCACACCGGTCTCGGGGTGCCAACGTACCCAGGCTCACTCCAGCAACACTGTGCGCTGCGTCCCGTGGAAGCCTTTGCATGTATTTATTACGCTCCCGCAGTGTGCAGGGCGCCTCAGAACTCAATTTTGGGGGTTCTTGAGTGAGACGGGGGTGGGGGTGGGGTGCAGCGTCCGGCCTGGGGCGCCACGTCCCGGTGGGGGCCTCCTCCCCGCCGTTCCGCAGCAGCGTGGGGACCGAACCCACGGATTCCCGGCGAGCTGGGCTCGCGTGGGGAACCGGCACCGCGGTCGCCGCTCGCTCCCTCCAGCCGCGCCCTCCTCCCCGGCGCAGCGCACCCCTGGGTGCTCGGGAGGGAGGGTGCGCGGTCCTGGGCCGCCAGTGGTACGCAGGGGTAGGCGGCACCCTTGGCCCCAGCCAGGGCCGTGCTCCACGTGGCCGCTCCCTTCCCTGCTGCTGTCGTCCGGGCTGGGTCCGCACCCCGGCTCTCCACGGTGCGGGGCTGAGCGCAGCTCCCCGGGTTTTGTGTTCCAGCTTCGCAGGGGCAGAAAAGACCCCTGGTGTGGGTTAGGGGAAGGGAGAGGGCGAGCCTTTGGCCTCTTAAGGGTGGTAGTTTGAGGTTCTCCCCCCTGCACCGAGGCGAGGGTGCGTGTCCCCGCGTGGGAAGAGCGCCCCCAAGGACCCGCTGGTCCCCGCGCGCGGGCGTCCCTCCATTCATTGCGACTCCCGGAGCGGCGGCCCCGAGACTGCCACCGAATCTGTGAATGGGAAGACGAAAGCCAACGTCTGTTTCCACTCGCTGCTTCCCCTCCCCCTCCCCTCCAGGCAGAGCGAGCCCGACACAGTGACAAGGGGCGGGGGCGGGGGCTTGGCGGGGGCGTGCGAGATGGGGCGCG